AACGCAAGCTTCAAAGGATGTACCTGGGTTAAGTCATCTACTTGTATTGCAACTTTTTGGCATACATCCTCATGAAGAAGTGCAAAATAACAACGATTGAGGTTTTCACAAATAAGATTTGTACGTAACAAGGTGTTGAACTGGGCGAGTTGGTAAAAGTTTGACATGGTGGGTGTAACAACTTCACGTGCGTACGTAGTTTGTACGTAGTTTGTGACATCTCCTCAGGCCTGTATTGGCAACTTAGTTCCGTTCCGACCTGCTTCATTCCTTACGTGTTCTGGCTACCAGCTACCGTGCATTGGAAGCAGGTTGGAGAAACATTGTTGCCATACTTGAGTGATCACCAGTGAGCATTCCGCTACGTACAGATGTACTCAACTTCCGCTAGTCAAACTTCGTACTGCGGCCAACTATACTCTCATCTATGTTGCAGGTTGATGCGTTTACTACCTTAGACATTGTGCATTAAGAATCTCAATGGGAGGTGTACTGTTTTCTTTTCGGGTGTTCGTTTTCATGGAATGCTACTGCCAACAACCGTGCTACCTCAAGTACTCCTGCGACCCCTGTGAACAAAAATATGAGGCTTCCTCCATTCCATAAATTTCGTAACATCAAGGCAGCAGGAAGATGACACCCCCTTATTTTACAGATTTTATTTCAATCCAGTTATTTTCATTCGTTGTGACGCTTATGAACTGCCAATGGCTTACCAACAATGCAGGGAAATATTAGTTATGGGTTAATAATGGTCCAAACACTGGGGAACTATAACGTTAATGTGAATATTGATTTCACTTACAATATTACACGAATGTTGCAAAAGTGTCATTGACTTAGTTGCATTAACGCCGTTACCAAGAAAGTAGATATATCCTTGAAACTCTTTCGAAAGGATGAGTAAATATGCATGTTTCCATTGCTCCTGACAAACAATACCGAGTCGCTGGGCTGTGTAGGATTTGTAATTGGCGCAGCATAGTTCAAATTGCCCTCTTTTGGGGTCGGATGTTTACGGCACTAGTAAATATGTACCACAGTGATTTTTAAGTTAAACATTATTTTGCATTAAACGAGAGGGCTAAACTTTGAGATTAAACTCATTAGGATTGAGAGTATCGCACTGCATGTTACCACCACGCTAGAACTTGGAATCAGATGACTTTACATCTCAAGAACATTTTGTGCACACGGAAGCATTTTCAAAAGAAGCAGCTAACCTTTCGAGCTGTCATTCCTCAAAAATCCTTTTGATGCTAGGTCATCCAGCGGCATATGACGTCTAATAAAAAGTAAAATTTCGAACGACAGGCTTTGATCAATTTGTAAGTGGTATTCACTGGCCACCATCGTTGCGTCGGCTGCTGGTGAACGCTAATCAATAGCGAAAATGCAAAACGGACACACAGCAAGCAGAAATGGTATAACATTAAACGTTTCTTTTTCAGTCGGGTGCAACTGAACTCCTGCCCAACGTATGCACTAAACGACAACGACATTAAGAATAAAGACCAGCGAATGCGTTCGATTTATATAGCCTTTTTACCATATCCATGTTCATTTATGAAAGACGGGAAAAATGCCTGTTTGTTCGTTTGTTTGTTTTCTTGTTGGGATTTTTGCTCTATAAAGAAAGTAAACAATATCCAGCTATATATGGAGTTTTTTAATTCTTATCCAAAACTTGTCGAGACGTACATTTCTCGATGTGCAAAAATTTATATTAACGTATGCAAAAGAGAATGTAACGAGCGACTCCGTTTATCTCGAAAACATTTGTGTTATGTGTAAATTGAGAAGGCTTTTGTGAAAACAAAAAACTTATATTTTGCGGGCTATCTGGTCGTAGAATGTTCAAGGAACTTTGTTGAAGCATATCAAAAATCAAATAAGTTTCTAAAGCAATGCTAACTTTACTTCCCGCTTTCGTCAACTTGTGTGCTCAGAAGATAATTTGTTGTACATCAATATGTATCATGAATAACTAAATTGTGACAGGCGTACTTATGGAATCTCCGAATACTATTACACCTTTTGTTCCCACCATAAGTGCAACTCTGCGAAGGTACACCCTGCCGTCATCATTGAATGTTTTAACGTTCAATTTAGTTAAGAAGTTTTAGTAAAACACGCGGGAAAAATAAATTATAAAATTTAGAAATATGCTTATGGTAGACAATTCGCTTTATAGGTTTAACTCGGCCCATCAATTTTTGTGGCTGATGTGATGGGCCTATTCGGGGACTATTTGGGCCGTCAGGCGAGACAAAGAACTTCCCGAGATGTTCATTGTTTTATGGAAACATCGCTGTCTCCTCTAACATAACACTGTAACAATCTGAAGTTCTAGCACTAGGTAGAGGATTCATAGCCTTCTGCTAAAAAGCTTCTCAAAGTACAAGGCGAATTTATTAAAGTAGTGCAAATATTGGGGCCTTTGTTGCGTTACAATTTGGTCACGTGTCACATTTTTGTAAATAAATCTAATGCTGTAGGAGATATGGCTAAGTACGCGCAGCTTTATTTTTGTGTGTTTTACTTTGAGATACGTAAAACATGCTTTTTTTTATTTATATAACCAAACTGACTACTTGTTAAAAGTTTCATTGACACCGACTTTCAGTTCGAGGTGTCTCATGTGTGTTTGGGCGTTACTTACATTTTTTCTTGTACTGTCTTCAAAATTTTGCCAAGTGCACTGAACGGTATACTTCACTTTCGCCGTTTTTTTTAAAATCGTTGGCAAAACTTATTGGTTTCCATACATCGGGTGTTTAAGCGAAGACTTAAAAACTTTTCTACCATAAAGCGGGTTGAGGAAAAAAAATTTTTTTGAGAACAATCTGCAAGGCATGGCGGATGTCAGGGACTGCAAAAAACATACAAATCACTTAAATATTTATAAAAAATTTACAAATTCGTTTTTTAAGTAGTGGAAACAAAAACATCGTTTCACTTAGAGATTTGCTAAGCGTCATTGAAATTCACTAAATCATTAGACGCACACAAAGTACGTGTGAAGCGGGAGTGCGTTCAAGCTAGCACTCGTGCAGCAGGTACAAGGCTGGTAATACGAAAATGCGGATAATAAGAATATCATTCGGGTTTTCGCATCGCCAGCACTGCCTGTTGCGAAAGAAGGGCACTACCGGATATTTTCCCCTGATTCATTTGATACGTCAGGAAAGTGCCGATATCTGCCATTTGAATTTAAGACACATTACATTCCCTTTGTTGCTTTGCGCTTCTCTCACCAAAGAATTGTTAAATAGGTGTTACAATTCCCTGATTTACGCTTAAGCATGCTATGACCTTAGGCCTGTGCATTTTCGTGTTATGCAATATTCGCTTGTTTTGTCTCGTAAATACTCCTTAACCATGTGATTAGGTAGAAATAGTATTCATGCATGCGTGTTTTTATGCCTAAATCACTATCGTGCAAGCCTGCCGATTTTTATGAAGTTTATACTTTTCTAGATTAGGCTTAAAATAATATTGATTGTGCCCGTATGAAAATCGTATTCCGAGAACCTATCTCACAAACATTATAATACTAAAAAGAAAGAATAGAAATAATTGCCACAGAGAAGCCGGTAAAATGTTTATTGAATTGTAAGTAAGCAGGTTCACTATTCCCACGTAAAGCTTTTGATGACCATTCTTTCTTGTGGACGATTGAACCCTTATCTTTATTTACAGAAAAACATTTCTGTCCGCTTTAGAATAAATAATACACTGTTTCCCCGGAGCAGTTCATTTGAAGCGGATGTCATACTCTACATGTTTAATATTACAGCTTTCTTTCAACAAGCATCGAAGACCTAACCAATTTCAACAAACGGTTAAAATGAAGCATGCCAAAAAAGAAAATTAAGGAAAAACTGTGCTGGCATGTTGTTTAAACAACTAACCTGTTGATACTGAAATAATACACTAGACATTTAACCGCTTGCATAATTTTACCTGTTTATTTTCGCTTATATTGACGAAAAGGTTAATACTTTATTTAATATTTAAAGAAAACGTGTTGTACAAAACCTAGTATGCTGATCATAACTGCTTTTAATTTTTATGTTTTTTTTCTATTGCTTGTAAACAAAGTGCTGATACTTTGCGCGCCTTCTAAATGACATATTGGTTTAAACAATTCCCAGCCCCAAACTCTAAGTGACGGCCTCACTTAATGTTAACATATTTTACGTGTGGCCTGGTCTAAAGTTTGCTGAAATAACGACTTTCTGTTTTATTTGTTAAAAGAAAAAATCTTTAGCGGAAGTTGCGACGAGTCTTTAGACGCCTGCATCAACTAAGTGGCTGAACATTCTGAGTATTTCAGCTTTCTACACAGATACACAACTGCTCTTTACATGAAACGTCATAGTTACTTAGAAAGCAGTGTGGTCTGTTTACACTTCCAATAAGCTATTTACATTGCATCTGCCTTTCTGGAATCCCCTCGTCAATTTCTGTTTCTGAAGATCATTTAATTCTCCTTGATACATTTATTATTGTCTATCACGTAGTTGTATACCTAGTTATAGTCATCACGCACAAAGCTTCCACAGCACCTTTTTGACAAAATGTCTTGAATGGTCATAAGAAACAGTAATATACGTGGTCACTGATCTACAATGAAATTGACGCGCTCCCAAACTAGAGTCAAGAATACAGGATACGGAGAGGGAAGATCTAACCTTTGCTTACGCCAATATTCAGTGTCTTCTTTTCTTTCAATAATATTGGATAGACTTTGCCCACGTTAGGTTTGGATCTAGAGATCTAAAAAAGTGAAGTCAATTGCTTAGTGGTTTATCTTATTTCCGTACTTTCTGTTAATATTCCGTTAGCTCTGACAACGTCAGCGTACCGCGCCAAAAGTTAGTTTCGCCTTCGTCAGAATCGCGGGACCTGTTGTGAAGCATGATGCAGTTATAAAGCAATGAGAATTAATGCACCGCAATTCGGAGACTCTTTAAGCAGCTGAGGGTGCCTTTCAGCGTCGTCGGTACCTGCTGTGGCTGGCACACAACCTACCCTCCGAGTCACCCCTGGACCGGTCGTGGCCGCCGGCCCCACGCTTCCTCCATACAACCAGTCACATCCTGAAAAAGATGTACCACAAGTGGAGGGTGGGTAGATGTACCACCAGTATAATAGGCCTCTCGTGGAAATTGGATTGGACTCAGACAACTCACGTGTCGCGTTTTAAAAAGTTGTTTTTCATTGCATTGGAATGCTTCTGCAGTTTATTTTATAATTTAATAAACTAACAGAAGACGACTAGGAATTGCCCCCCCCCCCCCCCCCATCTCTGGGTCAAAATAATCCAAGATATTTTCTCTGCTTTACCATAACCTTGAGCCTTGTGTCATCTTATCTATCATCTTGCAGCTCCTTGTTAAAACTACTTTTTTATATTTTTCTGTACCTTTACTCCGACTTTTAAGATAAGTCTTCCTTGCGTCACCGATTCTTTACTCAAAGTTTTGATTTCGAGCAAAAGTTGATCTTGTTCTAGGTTATTTAGTCAGCCGTTTTACAGGCAATGATTCTTTGGTAAACAATTGCTCTTTCACGACCTGTGTGCATATTTCCTTTCCGTGCATCGTGTATAATTCGTTTTAGACCTCAACTTCACTTTTACCTGGAAACACAACCAAAGACATTGAGCCTCGTGGAAAACATTGGTGCTAATAGCATTTCAAGCATCAACCACCCCTTATTTTGTAGGGAGTTTGTGTAACGAGTAAACTATTCAATGTAGTAGCTGCCAGAAGCAAAAATAAGATATGTGTAAAAATATATGTACTATCACGATCAATATGAGTGTGAACACCGCTCCGCGTGGCGCTTGGTACTATCAGTGCCACCTATCGCTTTTCCCATGAAGTATAAAGGTGCTTAGCGTGCGAGACACGTTGCCTACAGCGATCGTTTCACCACTATGGACTTCCGAATCGTCTGCTAGCGAAGAACGATCGGCACATCCGCGAAACTGATAACCACTAACGAAGAGCATTTTCTTGAAATGTGCGCCAGCAAAAATACCTTATATTAATATTTCTGCAGGGTAACCTTTTTCTTATCAATTTTAGTAAATTGTTCCTTTGACTCCGATAGCAATCTCCGATACTCCGCCGACGGCTTTGAGCCTGCATCATATTGTTATCGGAAGTATCCGAACAATCAAATAAAGCTACCGATTATTCACTTCGCGTGAGTTTTGCGAGAGCAAAACTCTCCAAATCTCCACATGCAAGAAGTTAGCGCGGTGCAGGCGTACGTGAATTCCGCTCCCTGGATCATAAAAAGCAACGTGACAGAACTTAAATCAATCGCAGACTTCCCGAAGCAACTTCGGTGTCACTCCGAGCCTTTATGATGTGATAAGCAATGCACCACTTTCAGCAGCTTATGCATAATCCACGCGAGGGAAATCAGTCACGAAAGACATATTACAATTGCTTGCCCCGTCACGCACACACCCGCGCGAGCGCCAGATTACGCCCGTACTTCAAATTGCGGATGACAGCGTCGGTAAATTTGATGATTCGGAACTGAAGGGCGGCACAACGAGCCCAAGAATCTACTTGTCTCGATCCCCCTTGCATCATAGCTTTACGGGGCATTCTATAGGCGGTGCTGATAGTACTGCGGGCCGCACGGAGCGGCGTTTACACTCCTATTCATGGCGATAGTACTTTCAGTCTTATTAATTAGGGACAGTAGATGTCTTGGAAAAGAATCAATTCTTTAACTACACACCTCAAGACCAACTCCTAACACAATTTTCTCTTGCATCACACTCTCCTAGACAGCCAGCGTAACAAAGGAAAAAAAAGGGGAACTGAGTATGGGAAGGAAATAAACTACCAAGAAAAGAAGGGAGGAGAAAGCGCGAAATTCGTACATCGACGGTTGAACTAACTTAAACAATATTCTAATGCTAGAAGTTTGAGCCCCAGTCTTAATTCATTCACCCGCGGGAGACAGACAAAAAACAGCTTTGATTTACTTCAAAGTGTAGGATTTTGACCAGCTCACCTGTGCCCTCGCCACATTATCACTTGTGTGATTGTTTTTTCTCGCGCAGTGTTCCAAGTACAGAATGAGGTTTGACCAAACAGCTCGAAATCGAATGCGAGAAAAGGTCACCGCGAGCATCATCTTCAGGGATCGGAAGGCTTCCTACGCGAAAAGGTGAACAGTGGTTCTCGAGAATAGCTACATTTGTTTGCAATATAATATTGTTCACTCCCGGTATTCTATTTGCGCCCTGCAGTGTATCCCACCCTTTTCGAGGGGACTACGTGCGCCTGCGCCAGAATGTCAAATGGAAAAGACTGGCCAGCGAAACCGGCGACCAGTACGTTGTCTTCGCGGACATCATCAGCAAGATCACGAGATCAAGCGGCAAGGTAAGCCTCTTTCTTTTTACTTTTTTTTTATTCGAAATTGTGCGATTTTGTATTCATTCAATGCTGCCTTGGTAATAGAGAAATGGACTACTCGAAACACAATTTTTTAAACAAGGGCACACCGTTGGTGGAGCGGTGAAATACCAACGGGATTATTTGGGAAATAAAGAGGGTACTGCCCGACATAACGAATATTTCACCGGGTTCCTGCTTCTAAAACAGTATGTGTGTGTGTCGTTTTTGTTAGTGGTGCTTTAGTAACGGCGCTACACTCACAGTTGTTCTCATATCAGATAAAATATCTGTGCTGCGTATTTGATCAAAGTCATAGCGCGATGCATTAAAGTTAATGATATAGTCAATCGCTCTATGTATAGGGGCTCACATTTTGATATGCAGTATATTATTTTCTAATTATCCGTATTAATCCCGCAAATATCGATTACTAGCTGAACTTTGTCACATAAAGCATGTAAATAGATTATCTTGTTGTACATACATACATTTCGAGAATAAAACTTACCTGCGCCACGAATAAGAGTTAAAATTGTCATTAAGATTGATTCCGTTAATTTTCACCCGTTACCAAAAACTCGTCCATTTCCTTTTAGTCAAGTGTTGTCATTAGCATGATGTAATCACATGACACCGACCAAAACAACAATGTACTGTGGCCACATGACGGTGTCAAAAGAGACAAAAGTCACACGGAACCGCCCTTGGCAGTAGCCAGAGATACCAGAGAGAAGGCGTAGGTTTATCTAAGTAGTTCTGTCTCCAATACTCATTGCAGTCTCCAGAATCGTACAGCGGCACAAGTAACTTACTATTGTGAATAGTTTTTTTTTTCTAAGAAAAACAACAACAAAGATGTCTTAAGTTGTTTCGTAGCCGTTACTGGCATAATTTATATTATCAGTCACATCTGACCGCTTCAGCTACTTTCCTTTTATTGCATCTGTAATTTCCTTAAAAGGCCCCTGAAAAAGTTTTTTAAACAGCCTTTTGTGACGCGCCTGTCAAAAAATGAATTTTACGCAAAAAAAAATGTTTTAGAGCAATATTGAGGGCGAGAGATTTATTTGAAATTCTGGGCGCAAAGCCCATGACGTGACGGAATGGTCATTCGCTCTTTCCACCTCAACGTGAAGGCGAAGCCGACCCGCCTCTCCCCGCGCCCGAAATGCCGAGGGAAAAGTGGAAAGGAGGTGACTACCGACTAAATCGCGCCTCGCGCAGTCAATATTGCTCTAAACAACTTTTTTTTTCGCGTATTTTTTTTTTTTTTTTACACGCGTGTTTAAATTAGACAGTTAAAAATATTTCATTTTTTTTTTCAGATGCCCTTTAAGGGGTCACAAAAGGGAAATTCGTTTTTGCAGCTCATGGGGGATATCATATAACGAAGTCCTCTCAAAGCTGCCGATACATTTATGCCTCCAAGACGAGCTTCGCGGCTTCAGAGAACCAATTTCACATCAATGTCCCGTCTAAATATACCCGGGACATTTTGACAACTTTTTATTATAAATGCTATCCTCGCTTTAAAAACGTCCTATTGATAGAAACGTGTTATTTGGTACACATACTCGACCATATCTCTCTTGTGTCTTTCAGTGCGTCCAGGCGCTATTTGTCGTTAGCACCAACGCCATGCTGATCATGGACCAGCGAACGCTGCAGATCAAGTACCGCATTCCCGTGGGGGACATCTTTAGGATATCCCTCAGCCCGTTCTTGGATGACATCGCCGTGTTCCACGTTCGCACGGTGTGTTCAGCACTCTGCTCGACGCGTACATCGCGACGCCTCGGTGTCGGCCCCGGAATCGCAACGACGTACTCAGTCTTTTTGTTAGTAGGACAACACACAGGGACATGGACAAGGAACTGTAGGAACAGGACGAGCTTTGAAACAACAAATGTTTTAATCGACATAAATAAGAAAGATGTTAAATAAGTAGCTTACAAACAATACTAGAAAAAACAAGGAAATATCTGGCAATAATGCAGGAATGGAAATAATATAAATGATAGGAAAATCCTATTTGATATATAGTATCATTTATAGATTTCTCTTTCTTTTCTTCCTTCGTCTTGCCCAATAAAACGTCGGTTTTTACTCAACGCTCGCGCTGTCCCCGGTTCATCTTGTCCTTGTACTTCTCGTTTAGCGCTGTTTTTTTAAAACTTGTTTTCAAAATGCGCAATAAACTAACCCTGCACAACATTTTGACTTCTCCTAGTTAGTCCAAAACTTTGAATTAACAATTTTTTCGATATATTCGTCGCTACTAAGAGTCAGCAGTATCTAGTGTTTGCAATTAGAGTAAACCAAAAACTACTTTGAATTCAATTGTATAAGAAATATGAGAGAAATAGAAGATGCTCCCAACTGAATTCAAATTGGCGATAAAGAGAAAGTAAAATGTTCCCAGATTGTTAAGTTTGCGGTCGTGTTACAGTATTTGCCTTTAGTAACATATTCTACACACTTTTTGACAAATAAAAAAATGCCAAAAGGGCCGTAACATATAAGTTTAAACGGTCGCCTAATCGCTAAAAGAAACAATTACGAGCCTAGCAACTTGCAAAATACAAAGTTTACACAAATGTGCACCGCGGTTTCAAGGTTTCCGCGTTGTTTATTTGTGCCAAATTCACGCTTGTGACGTGTAAGTGTTGCCAACAAACGCTCAGAGCATATTCAAGTCGCATACACAAAAATCAAACTGCATTCCACTTTTTTCACTTGTGTAAGGCACCGATATTATTTACGCTATGCTCCCGATTAACAAAGCTTCTTTCTCAATTCCAAAGATGGTCATGCGTGCGAGTTATCCCATGGCGCGTCCTTTCAGTACCTTGAACCCCTTGTCACAACCTTAGGTCGGGCCAGCTACTTTTACCGTTTGTCGTGTCATTCTCGTCTCGTTCTGACGTTGTGCCGCATCTTCCGTTATTCTTTTACGCTGCTTCATTTACTTAGACGGAAGCCACCAGGAAGAAAGGCGACTTCCTCTTCGAGACCGGTCACGTGATTGAGATCGTCACGAAGCTTTTCTTGGTCATCCAGAACGCAACTGGGAAACCTCCGGAAGTTAACATCGCAACCGAGTAAGTCGCCCGTCTGCACCTTAAAAAGATTCAGGAGACATTTCTTTATCGAGTGAATTCGTCACTGAAATACATAGTGACACTGCATTGGCATTGTGATGGCACTTCAAAACGATGGGCATTCGATATGAAACAAACACATTTTATTCATACAAATTATTTACTTATAGGCTTTGTACAAAGAACGAATGTACGAAGAAGGTAGAACATTTACCCGGCAAGAGCTGCTCCTGATAGGTTAACTGCATAAAAAAGAAGTCTCATCAGAGATAGCACTTTCCTATGATAAAAAGGGCAAAGTGGTAGGGTGTCATAGGAGAGACAAAAGGCCAGCACAATAGATCATTTAGAACATCTATTTAAAAATGTAAAAGGAGATAAAACTGTGACTCAACTTTTTATTTTGCCACAATTTAAATCGAGAAGAAACGATTATTGTTCTTTATATTATATTTCATAATAAAATGTAGTCCATACATTGGTCCTATTGCTTGTTTCCGTTCTTTTTTTTACGGTGGCCTTTTTTAGGGGGTACCGCTCAGCTCCACCTGAGTGATCCGCGCTTGTTTCAATATATTTTCAAAGGCCTAATAAAAGGTGTCTTCCAGCGCAAGTTTTTCTACAGTAAACCATCTGTCCTCTCTTTGCTTTTTTTTAGTACGACCGCATCTCATTACTACTTGATAGTCCCATTGATCTCTTCTCACACGCCCCCTCAAGGAAAGCATCATCTTATCTCAACTATGAAGCCTTTTTATACAAATATCTTTTTTATTCTTCTTCTTCACTGGTATGCGGAGAGCAAGTTGTCTGCTTCTTGCACAGATGTTGGGGTGATGTCAGAACGCCGATCTCCTGTTGACTGATTGAAAACAATAGTGGGTGTACCTCAAGGCATCTAGCATTTAGGTCTTCCAATCAAAGCCAATCAGAGGTCGGCGTTGTTATGACGTCACCGCAACCCCGGTGCAAGAAGGAGACAACTTGCTCTCCGCATAGGTTTTGATCTCACTTGTCCTTCACAGTGAAAGAAGTTTCATCGTGGTGGTAGGTATGATAGATACGACGATTTGAGAAGAGGCTCGCGATTAACAAAAGGAGCAATCTTATAGGGTTGTTAGTAGCAATTAGATTAGCAGCCGATCCGTTACTATTTATTTAATAATTATTTTATCCAGGTACACCCCAATCCGGAGGGCTCGCGACACAAAAAGTATTCCACTAGCGATCATTTCCGTAAAATATGGAGGCATGTACAAGATGCTGTCCGGGTCCGCCGATGTTTATGGGATACGGGGGAACGACAATGTTCCAGACGCTGACAAGCAAAGCTAGCGAAGTCTTAGCAGCTGGTACCTTTAAAGGCCGGTTCTCACATGCAGCGAAGCGCTGATGTAGCGCTCCTCACGTGTCGTCAGCTACTTATCGTCTGTCATGAGCAACAGTTTTGACGGTGCGATACAAAGCTGGTGTACGCTGCCGTCAACACGCGCTAAGCGCGAGGTTAGCGCTATGCTTGTAGCGCTCCGCGGCATGTGTGAACAGGCCTTTAAGGTGCTGAGTTAAAAAGGAGAAAAAAAGTCTCCCCTCCAACAAGGAGGGAGGACAAGCAGTTTCTTAATCTTCGAATGATGAAAAGCGTCAACATCAGCAAAACAACGACAGCAGAGACATTTCAAAGACAACTTATTTTAGTTAAAGACTTGCAAAAGCGGTTTACCAATGACTTCTAACTTGGAACAATTCGGAAGAGGATTCCTATAAAACGGAAACAAATTCTAAAAAATTTGTGACCATTAAAATGCTCTGAATCCGTTCAGACTGAATGCGAAAATAGATATTTCTTAAGATATACAAATTCATTTCCTGCAGTACTATAGGAAGTATTCACTGGACGCCAGATTTGTGGGTGCTGTTTAAAGCTCATGCTCAGAACGAGCTCACATCAATTGGCTGCTAAGACCGGCACTCTTGATGGAGCGGACTGCACGTTGCAGAAGAACTGTGGAAGCTCGCCATCAGCACGCGCTCAGAATTTGCGCACACAGCTATGGCTATGGCCGCCAAAGAATACTTCGTATAGACTACTACAAGCAAGGCCACTTGTCGCCGCCATGTCGCTGCTCGTGCGGACAAGCCCGTGAAATTTCAAGCTTGACAAAAGCTATGTTTACGCGCAAGCTGCACGTGCTTGAGCTCACGGGGCACCCCCTGTCGGGGCGTCATACTTGCAATTTACTATACTCTATTTCACCTTATGATGTACCGCAGAGAAGGCTGCAAGCGCGAGCTCCCTGTTCTGGACCAGGTCTCGGCGGAACAAGCTCTCGCGCATTAAGGGCAGCCGCCAACGCTGTGAGCTCGCGATTCTAGCCTTCGCTGCGGTACAACATAAGGTGAAAAGCAGTATTTAGTCCGTGAAATAAGTAGCGATGTTTAAAAGTTTGCATTCCGCGCTGTGTGGACTGGTGCGTACTATACGAGAACTTGTTTTCCAAAATCGCTTGTTATCACTGTGGATGTCAGCCAGTGTCGTTGGCGAGACAAGTTGTTCCACCCTGATTATTAATTAGCAAGAAAACCTGAGATTGCCTCTCCGTTGTTTTAGCTCTCGATGTCCCTGTCGGTAACGCGCGAGGTAGCTGCGAACACGTATGCGATGTGAATAATACTTGCGGTTGCAAAATCATGGGAGATTTTTAGCAAACTGTTATTGTGTTCCGCGTACCGCACTACCGAAGCCTTTGAAGCATGCTTTAAGCGCGCCCCGCGGTTACAGTGTCACCCGGGCACGCGCTTAAAAGCATGAGTCAAAGGCTCTGGTAGTGCGGTACGCAGAACAGGGTAATGGTTTACCAGAAGCCCCTATTGCTACATAGAAATAGGTTACTGTGGAGTAGGAATCAGGGTAACGATTCCTCCGAAACAATACAGGGCGTTCACACTCATTTAGCTTGTTTCAAATTATTACGAATTACAAAAACCGTGACACCTAAGAAAAGGACACGAATCAACATTGGTGTTGTTTTATTAACGTGAAGTGCCACATGTTGAATAAATAACGAACGGTAGTCCGGAAAGTCTATGCTGTACGCACTCAACGTTCACTGTGACTAACCTGCAAGACGTTTGTTTTTCAGCATATTCAGTATAGTGTTTCTTTTTCGCTTGACAAATTAGTTTTACACAGTACACTAGATACGGAGGTAGTGGACGATACTTCTTTCATAAGTCGACTCCATTCTTTCGCCTTGGTGGGGTTGTCTGTCAATGTCTCGAGATTTGAGTTTGGGGTAACTCACTATTTCGAGATCTATGTCAATGTGCTTTTACCAGTGTCTCGAGATCTAAGTAATGTCTCTTCACCATGATATCGATATCTAAGTAACACCCCATTATCACTGTAAATGCCTTTTTACGATTGTATCGAGATCTGTCAGTGTCCCTTTATCGATGTCTGGCGATCTAAGCATGCGGTAATTCATAAGCTTATCTCGGTCTTCACCCCCTCGTCCTCACCGTCCTTTGCCGCAGGTTCGAAGTTAATTTCGGCAAGGAGAACGTCGTCCTGGGCTTCCGGTCGTCGGTGATGACCGACGTCCAGTCCGGCCAGATCAAGATCTCCCGGAAGGGCAACCGGATGGAAGTCGTCTTATGAGGATCGCTTCTATAGGCGGCTTTTTTCAATTGCACTTCCAAGGACTCGTTCCCGTGGAGGACACTCTGCATGCACAGACGTCGACGCTGTTTCACTCAAATCTCGACTAGCTCTAGCCTAGCGCTCTTGTTACTTTCTCTCGCGATTACACGTATACTTGCCTTAGGTTTTTGCTCGGAGACCAAGCGTCTTGCACGCGCTCTGAGAACTCTCTTTCAGAGCCTGCCTTACGAAAAAAACAAAATGAACTCCCGGCGCCGCCTGTTCAAGGGTCTTCCCAGACGGCGGCCCCCCGACATGTCAGTGTTACTGAACGACAGAAATGTTTCTTCGTGGGTTCGCGCGAGTTTGCTTGTCGTACTTGGACAGCATTTGTTTTAGACTGTTGGACATTCGGTGTTTAAAATCACCCCCTATTATATTTGTCTGAGGCAGTTGACACAACGTACGTCTCACTAGAACGCTGCATCGCAGCCCCTGGATCGGGTTATTTGACTTGCATACTTTCGTACCATACCGTCGCAATCTCACATGGTGTATGTAGTCATATGGCGAGCATTGTGAACCGGATTTTTCCTGTTCAGTTTTTCTTCGTTTTTCTTTCTATCTACGAGTGCGTGATTGTGTGGGTGTCTGTGAGAGCGTCTGAAAATGCTAGGTTTACCAAGGTTTTAGGGGTAAACTAGAACTGCTCCCATTGCTCAAAAAGAAAAATACAATAAAACACAGCACTAGATAAACTAATAAAAACATGTATTTATTCATCTTCACTCGAGCGATGCGCTAACACCTCGCCTAGGTGGTGTTGCGTCATTTTTAACGTTCATCATCGCCAGCGTGGAAGTGTTGGACATGCATGGGTGTACCTAGCGATGCATTTTAACCGTGGGCATCATTTTTGAGTCGCTTGTTCGGAGTTAATTCCGACGAAAAAGTATCTCGTTCGGATGACCCTTGTAAATATCCATTCGTCGAAAATAGATATGTCGCGTTTTTTTTTTTTATTTGGTGATAGCTACGAGACGTTATTTCAGATAGTGATTTTGCTGAGAAGCCCTCATTGAGAAACCTCTTCAGCTATCTCTTCGTTAAAATAGAGCCGGTTTGGTAGTAGAAGGACGTAGTTTCATCTCTTAATCGTGACGTGCATTTATTAAGTTAAATGGCATTGTTATTTAAAATCCGAACGCTGAGTAGGATTATGGAGCAGATTAGATTCCAGAAAGCGCCTTCGCTTTATTTAAATGCTAGGAGTACCGGATTCTAAAAATTGGTGAACAGTCACGTGTATGAATTCTTAATCTCATGAAGCCGGAACTTCTGCACAAGGCTTCATATACAAACTTTTGTTCTACCGTAAAACTCTACGCTGTTGGGTGAAACTGGATATGATTATCATATTGGCTGGCACTTGCATATCAGGCTGAGAATTTAGCAATTATGAAAAAAAAAAGAATGCCGCAATATACAAGTTCACATTAACTTTCACGTAAGAACAGCGCTAAACACAACAAAAGCACGAGCTTGCATCTTTATCTCAGCAAACAAAAGACGTGACATCAATTTATAAGATTTTTTCTTAGTTTATTAGGTAAAAAAAAAGATGTAATGTTAGGAATTACCGCCATAAAATACGTACGCCAATAAATCGTGCGAAAGAAGACCAAGCATGCGTTCAGGTTAGACGCGGTTCGTAGGGCACCTATGCACTTGCATTCACGGCTCGTTGACATGACTGATACGGTCATGATACATCGTCATTCACTAGTCACGGCAAAAGTCGTTAAGCCTTCCAGAGGAATAAAACCAAAAGCGAATGATGGAGCACGGCAAGAACGATACTGGGTCTTCTTACGCTCCGTTTCACATTAAGTTGGACCGGTTGACAATTCTCCGTTCTGACGAAGCCGATCCCGGAGCATTAAAAACTGACTCGTCACGGCACTGGTTTCCTTTGCGAGCTTGTTATTACTGGCTGAACTAATCACGCTCAGAAAAGAAAAAAAAAAACCCGCAGGGTTGCGGTGCATTCACTGTGCGTGATAATGGTTTAGTCGGCAACAGAGAACGCACAAAGGGCGATGAGTGCCGCGACGATTCAACCTTTTGCCATTGCTGGATTGGCTACGTCGGGTCGTGGCGTTGGCTTACCGTAGAGGCCTTTGTGAAAAGTGTATGGGATGACGTTAACCCGAACTGTTTTCCGTTGGTGATTGTTCGAGAGTTGCGGAAGACGAAGAATCCAAATAATTCAACCAATTGCAGGAGATGTAAAAAAAGAAAACAAAAAAAAGCATTTGTTTTTTTAATGGGCGCAATATCAAACACTCGCTGCATTTGTTTGTCGTCGACAATCTTCAGTCAGATAGTGATTGTGCCAAATTACACTGCCAACGTGAAGCAGGTGCAACTGATCGAGTTTGCCTTCGGACTGTGTGTTTCTTAAGGCCTGTCTTACGTGAGGCGACTTCTCGCTAGTATTGTTACAAAGAATTGTTTGCGCGTGCGTATGTTGTTTTTACAAGTTTTTAGTGTTATCATCGGCAGATGTTAAAAACTTTCGAGTCGATCCACGCGTAACAAACCCGGTGCTTCTGTCTAGAAACTGAAAAAAAAAATGTTTCACAGTTTAGCGCCGCTTTTCACTTTGAATTTGTCTATGTAATTTAAAACTCTAGATCTAACAAAAACAACACACACACACACAAACACTGTATGTTTGTCTTTTCATTCATAGCATTACAGTATAGAATCTGTTTATAATAAGTTTAGCTGTTTTCTAGGGTGCAGGATTCATGTGGGTAATCTGTCTTATATCCAAGGCTGCTACTCCCAACCGTAGGTGTACTGATAAATACTTTGTAAAAATACGCTAGGGTATAGGTCAGCATCTTAACAGGAACTATAAGAACAAGTCTAGGAAATTCAGAGAACGAGTGTGCCGCTAGTCGTTTGGAGTTTTTCTACGCGAACGCACCTTGTTATTTCCTCGCTAGATGTCCGGTTAGGTGTATGCAGGTTAGCGTGTAATGCTCTGATTTTTTTTTGTTTACATATTCTTGCCTATCAACGGTCGATGTAAACTACTGTAGGCTCTACGAGTATATGCAAAGTAACCTTACATTAAGGTTAGCTACATCTTTAGTTTAACGAAACGCGAGACGATGCCGAAAACCGGAGTGCTGGACATTTTATTATGGTTAACATTTTGTGCCTTTCCTTCCGGATTAGATACCGTATGGTTTTTTTAGTTTGTCACTTCTTACCTGCTCATTTACTGCCGCAGACAAGTATCTCCGGTGTTCGTCCTTGTAATACTTGCCTTAAGTTGTAAACTGTTTTAATGTCACGAGTTCATTGTTTTAGCTGTAATGTCCTTCTTACTCTGACCACTGAAAAGGAGTTGATATAAAATATTTGGTTAGCCTTTTTATTTCTTGTTGATGTAGACAAAATACATGCCTAAATAAATTTGTGTACACAGTATAAATACATATATAGTATACATATAACGCGTCATGTGTACAAAGTTGAGAACACGAAAGCAGACGATGCAGCCAGCGTTGTCCGGTTGCGAAGAGTTAACGAGAAGGAAAATAAGTTATCATAAAGAGGACATTGAGAAGTTTATAAGCCAAAATGTTTTCATACTAATTTTATTAATAAAAGAACAACCAAAATATGGGCTGTGTGTGTGCTTTATTCAGTACATTGTAATCGATTATTTTTATTCTGCGGCTTTGAGCTCACAGCATATCTATAATATATGTCCTTATTGATAATAGCGCCTTGGTTTCATAACGGCAGTGATATCTAAAACTCTTGCAAATCGAAGAGTGTGAGCATTTCGCAAAAAAGTACTGGTGTTTTGAGTTGCGCCCACCCTCACCAGAGCCTCCCAAATTTGTCGCTTCCAGCAGTGTACTAGCCGTGTTGCTGTATTTGAAGAATACAGTAACATAGCTTATTCCTGCGCCATGCACGAACTGGATAATCTTTTTAGGTTCGCACCACTTTAGCACTTAGAAAAGCGTTACGAGTTCAAGGACACGAAAGAACGACTCACCGGAGATCACTTTGTAGTTCTCCTTTTGAACCAAAAACCTTTTGAAAAACTTCGAATCGGTCCAAAGCGCACGTTCAAAACGGTTCTAGTGAAAGCTCATGCTAGCGAAACCACAAACGTTCAGTTTAAATCGTATAGCCGAGTATTTTAACGTGAAACGCTCTTGGCTAGGTGCTCAGCATTTGGCGAAGCCTGATAAGTCAAGCCTGATAAGCGTGGGGGCGAACCTCGATGCTGATCGGATAACCGTGCAGGTGACATGCCCAGATGGGTAGGCGAAGAGGAGCTGGACACCCTTTTAGCACTGAAAGAGAAGGGCTCAATTGTATGGAAGGCTCTGCAAGAACGCCAGGTTTATCAGCTCTGCTACGTGAAACTCAGAGTATCTATAAACGTTTCTGATGCTACAACGTCTCACGTGTGCTGCGAATTTCCTAACAATTTGCCATAAGTGTTTTTGTTTACTAGGTTTTGTCCTACTTTTTGCACATCCCTAATTGGGTCCTAAGTGATCCGTAATATCCTCTACATCAGGCGTCTCCAGACACCGGCTCTCAGAGGCGTTCCTGCCGGCCCGCGAATGGCCGCGGTCTTTCCAGTGTGACGCCCGGCCGCGACCCGCTGTTACAAAATGCAAAAAAAAAAAAAAAAAAAAAAAAAACTAGAACAAAAAATTTGTTAAAGACATTTAAGATTCCTTACGCGTAAGAATGCGAATTCATTTCTACACACAGTGCATTCTTACAAGAAGCGCGCCAAGTCTTACTTTTACACGCGACGCTCCTGCGGCGACATCACGGTCCCCCATTGTGCATGGCGCGGCGCCCCCTCCGGCTCCACGGCTCCCATGACGATGCATCTGCGTTGCTGTGCTTTTCTTTGTGTTTTATTTCTGAGGCGCGTCCGCTTTGACCTCGAGCTGCCCCGCCGGCTTGAGTGACGAAGCATCTGATATGACGCGTCGCAGCAAATGGGAATTTGTGCTTGTTTCGCTGCTACAGACAACGCCGGCTTTGCTCCACGGCACAGTTAATGCTTTAGCATTAAAAAGAAATGGCGTCGCGACATGCATTCAAAGCGTAAACAAAAATATTAGAAAAAATATGAAAAAGCTGCATCAAAACATTGGTCCTTCCGCCAGACTATTCATTGTACATTCTCATCACCAAGTATTTATTCACTCGTAGCCCCTTGTTTCACGTCTGTGTGGCTACGTTACAATTCCTTTCCTTTCTCGTGTATATTGTGCTTAGCCTCCTGTGTCACTATTTTATATTGTCAATATTATATATACCATTCTTATTAGTCTTCTGCCCCTTGTGAACATGTCAAAGTTCCTATACGCTATGATTTAAGTCTGGTGAGTTTTCTAGGTCACAGTTAATTTCAATCTCTTCATTAGCAATATATTGAATTAAAAATAAAGTGTATGTATTCATTTATTTTACCAATTTTAATTGTGGCTACGTAGTTGAATAGTTTGGATTTAAATTATAATTTACGTTTATTTAATTAGTATTTTCCATTTATATTAAATTATTTATTATCCGGCACTTGAGACTGACAGATCCTCCTTCCGGCCCATTAGCTGATAAGTTTGGAGACCCCTGCTCTACATAAATAAAATAAAATGAAGCCTAGTTAAAGAGGCCAACATTCGTGAGCCTAGTAGCCTGTCTCAAGGCAGTCACACAAAATGAGGCAGCCGGAAATTACACGTCTTGGCGTACTCGAAATATCACCAAAAGAGCTGCAGATCTTGTGCCGGACCACTACACCTTAAAAAAAGTTCTTTTGCGCAATAACAACTAACGTTTTTGTTAAAAGATGGTCCTCTTAGAAAACGCATGCCCCATTAAGAACTATTATGGCAGAAATCCTGACGGCGTTTCCGCTCCTGATAGCAATGATCATTTCCTGAACACTGTCGAGAAGACGCCTAACCAATCATCTGCGCACGTCGTCACAGCGCTGATAAATAGACAGAAGCTTTAAGTGAAATTTGACACTGAAGCAGGACTGGCGGTAGTTGTCTAAACATTTTTTTTTTAACTTCTCGGGTCCCTTGGACCAGAGCCATGTATAGCAAGAGTTTGGTCAATGGGAGGCGCGGGCAGAGGCAGGGCGTGCATTAGACTCAGAAAGATGGATTGACATGCTCTAGAGTCTAGACAAACCAGAAGCTGAAAAGAATCCCCTAGCGGCGGTAGAGAGAAACAGTTCAAATCAAAGGTATGTGTTGGTATATGGTTTTAATAAGCGCGGAAGAGTAAAATGTAGGAACCCTTCAGGGTTGAAAATAGGGTGCACATGATGTTTCGATCATGATCATACAGAAAGATGTAAGAAACAAATGTGCCGGTCAACTCTGTTTTGCTCGGACAGAGTGTGACCGCTCGGACGGCAGATTCCCGGCCCTCGGCGCTCGGCGCACGAATTATATCCATCGTTCCGCTAGTTGCACTCGTCCTCCACGATTTTGGATAAACGTGATTGAAACATCGCGAGTAACATATTTTCAGTAACCGAGAGTTACTCCGACACACTTATCAAGTTTGTTTTTGCAACCACCGCCAGAGTATTATTTCCGGCTTCTGGTTGGCCATTTTCGAATTCGTGAAGACGCCCTGGAACACGCCAGCCCGCTTTCGGCCAATGGCGCCTCCTCATTGGCATCTTATACTTCCCAACGAATGGTCAAGCTCTCTACATATACGGCTCTGCCCTGGACAACGCAGGATGCTTTCGAATTATGAATATGATTCGAATTATGAATAATGAATATGTACTGCCGGAAAGTTGCAAGCGAACGTTAATTGGAAAGTCAAGCATTCACGGCAAACAGTCTATGTCGTCTACAATTTACGCACGCCCCCTGCAAAAAACGTCGCCGCGGTCAAGGTTCTGGTAATAGTCCGATTTCTGGACCAACTGTAAAGGCTGGAGCCGTCAAAGCCAAATATTCCAAACTATATAAGAATATGGGATCCCTTGCTGGGAAGTACGCTTAGTGTCAGGCACTGTCTGGTACGTGGTGTCCACCCACCACAAACTTCCTATACCGATAAAGGAAGTGATGAAGATGGAGAGTAGCTGAAGAAGCTACAGCTCGAAGAGGTGATCGAAAAGTTGAAACCCAACAGAGTGGTGTGCTTCAATCATACTGGTACCGAAGCCGTCCCATGTCATCAAAAGTCTGTGTCTACCAAAGTAAGCTGAACAAGTTTGTAAGACGGGAACGCCACCAGCTTGAAAAAGTAGAACATATCATGGGCAGCTTTCAAGAAGTACGTGTGTTTTTAAAGCTCGACGTCCGGTTTGAGGTTATATCATATGCAGCTATTAAAGTCATGTCAAGAGCTCACGACCTTTATGACGAATCAACGGAAGTGTCACATGAGGCTACCTAAACTGGCATCATAATCATACGCGTTCTCTTCTTAATAGTGGAGCTTTTTTTCTCCTAAACCTTAATGAACGTAGATGATAATCACTGGCGGCCATAGCTGTGTGCGCGTCTGCTGAGCGCATGCTGATGGCGAGCTTTCACGGTTCGTTTGGAACGTGCATTCCGCACCATTAAGATTGCCGGTCTTAGCAACCTATTAATGTGGGCTCGTTCTGAGCATGCGCTCTAGATGGCACCCACGAATATGGCGTCCAGTGAAAGCTTCTTATTTATGATTTGTAATATTACACCGGCTTTTGGTCCGTGCTCGACCGTCAGATCAAAGGGCCCCCCTGACATACGGGCAAAGGCTGCAGATAACGCACAGGACTATATCTTTGAGGACTATCCTCGACGGGTGCGAAATTAGATGACTTTTTAGTAATATGTTTTATGTGCTTTCACTCGTTCAGTGAAAGACTTGGCAGATCGGTTTATATTGGTCTTTGCTGCCCTTGGTGAAAGGCGACACTCTCGAATATGATCACAATGGCATATTTTACGAGTTTCACTGTGTTCCACTCGCACAGATGACCAACTTGTCAGTTGCATTACAACATCAGGAGTTTAAAAAGCAGCTCTCCTAAAGTTCCGTGCAAAGAACAAAAAAAAAAACCGTCATGGGTGAGAGAGTTCCATGCACGTTCTTCAAGCGCAGCGTAACTTTTGTTTCAGTTGCATCAAGAAGCTCACAGAGTAACTTTCGTTTCAGCTGCATCAAGTGTACTTCACTCGGCATGTCCACTTCCATCAGACTCAGGGCTGTCTTTAACTTCCTGCCCTTGGGCACCTCAGTCTGACTGTAAGCCGTCAGTGAACGTTCCGTGGCTTTGTATGTGAAGTACAGAGCGCGACACTGTTAGCGCGAACAAGTGATCGCCGGTTTTTTCCAGTCTTTTTCTTTGAAAACAAGGGATGTCATCCAAGTTATTATTACTACCAAAAAAACTGATTTAGTTCTATAATGTAAGCGATAAAATTTCGTGCTCGCTAATACTACTTAGAAGTAAAATACGAAAATGCGGCGATGTCGTGTTCGCGCTAACAGTGTCGCGATATGTACATTCATTCAGTTTTTGTTTGAAAGTCTTCAGATGATTCCTTTTTTAGCATTACTTTCACCGTTTGTACAATGCGTTAAGCAGCTCTGTTGAATGCTAGG